TACAAAAGTGCTTAAGTAATATTGAAATGCTTAGGCATAATTTAATTATTTTATTAATAAAAAGTTTTCAAAGATATTGACATAATTTTAGAATAATTTAATTACTAAAATTAATCAAGAATAGATTTGTTATACTTAACTACGCGTTATCTGCTTAACTACGTTAACTAAGTTACAGTTGTGTTGAACATACAATTTAGATTTCAGTGAGCGACGGGCCGCGTCCGCAAAATAATACGAAGGGCCCCCGATGGGCTCGAAACTAGTCGGTGCCGCCACCGGATGAATATACGTGAGTGTTTAGCCGTGTTTATATATCAGTTTAATACAATTTAGATATCATAATAGAACACATTATATACTATTATAATAGCTAGTTAGGATATCTAATGAAATATATAATCGTTTATATAAAGAATACATTTAAGAGTGGGAGAACCCGCTTTAACATCTTCGCAAGAATTGGCCAGGTTCATCCGGTGAAATACCACCACCACACAGAAAACAGGCGTGAAGTGGAAGCAATTCCGCGTTTCGTCTGATGAGTGTGCGTCCCGGAGGCCTAATTTAGTCCTCTTTCCCTTCCCACCCTTTTTTTACAAGGAAAGGATGGGAAGTGAAAGCGGACTTTCCGGACGAGAGGATGCATGGAAAGGGAAAATATTTTATTTCCTTGCATCCTCTCCTCCGTCGATTAAAGGTAGGCAACGCATATCCAATTGCGTATGTCTATGGGCAACGGTCACTTCGCTATTTAAGCGATTTCAGCTGGCCGCTCGCTCGTTTGCCACCTTATGATATAAAAATATATATATATATATGTACTGTTATAATTATATGCTACTGAAAACCGTTTTTGAATACTTATGATTAATTCTAAATGGCTATTTAAAGGTTAACTTTATATGTCTACACGTATTTTTAATACATAAAAAACTACTGGACCGATTTAAAAAAATCTTTTATCACAAAAACGCTACATTATCTCTGAGTAATTTCTTACTAATATAAATACGAAAATTTTTTGGATGGATGGATGTTTGTTAGAAGGTATCACCAGAACGGTTAAACGCATCAGGCTAAAATTTCGTATACATATAGAACATAGTCTGGAAGAACAAATAGGCTACGTGCTAAGTTTTTCTTCGTAATATTGAGAGAGTAATCGCGGACAACAGCTAGTAGGATATATATTATACCTATGTAAAGCTAAAACGGGACGCTAAATTGTCACAGAATAAATGCATAGTAAATGTAGTAAGCTTTTGTACATTTTTCTAATAATAAAATCGACCATATGTAGATTTTTTTTCATGCATTGCTCTTATAAAATGCTCGTTTGAAAGTTACACATCGTGAAAGTTAAAACTTTCCGCAGCCGGTGCTCTTGTTCTCAGTTCAATAACTTGGCGGTATCTATTAGTTTCAAGCTAGGATTTACGTGTAGACTTGAATTATGATAAAACTATCGATCGCCCGCGATTCCGTCTGCACGGAATTAAAATTAAAAAAAAATAGTAGCCTATGTGTTCTTCCAGGCATTTTGTCCAAGATCACACGGATGACGATATGGAATGACAGGGATGAGAAAGAAATGAACGATCAATGAAGAAAAAACATTCATGTCCACAGAAGTAAATTCCTATTTATTAATTAAAAATCCAAAAAGGATTCGAATGCAGGACCTACAGATTGCAAGTCAAGTGCTTGACCCCTGAGCCACCGACGCTCTAGATAAAAGCCAAATATTAAAAGCATTTCGTAGAACATTCGTAGTGATGTTTCTTTATTGGACATAAATATACCTTTAATCTAGGACAACATTAATCCGCCTGTTGCGAGAAACAAAGAGCCGGAAAATAATTAATTACTTTGCAAACTTCTCGTATCCATTAACTGTGTTGTTACTTTACCTCCCTTTGGATCAAACAGTTGTTTGGATCAAACTAAGGTTAATTTCTTTTAACATCGGATTTTAGGGTGTGTTTACACTGGCCATACGCTGTAAGATTTTTTTATAAAAGACTAGCTGTGCCCGCGATTTCATTGGCGTGGTTGTCGGAAAGACTATTGCAATTATCTTAATTTTCCCCGATTTGGAACATTTCTCAATGACGTTTCGCACCTTTTGGTCGCAGCGTAATTTTATATAGCCTAAAGCCTTCCTCTGTAAATGGACTATCTAACAAAAAAAGATTTTTTCAAATCGAACCAGTAGTTCCTAAGATTAGCGCGTTTAAACAAACTCTTACGCTTCATAATATTAGTATAGACAAGGTTCAAACGAGCAGCGTGAACACCGATGTATACCTCGACGCCCATGTACATCTGCAATACCAGAAGAACCGCAGATGCGTTGCTGGCCTTTGTGATTACGATAATACATATTAGCATCCCAGTTTTATTACGTGTCATGGCAGTCAAATATCAAGATTATTTCGAATTATGGCGACCGTTTAAATTAAATAGAATTGCGAGCCGTCAAGATGAGAAAATCTTTTGACTATGTACATTCATCCGACGTTTTTACGGTGAAGAACATCGTGATGCTGCACATATCTGTGAAGAAATTCAAAGATATGTGTAAAGTTAACCCGCACTGGGTCAGCGTTGTTGACTATGGTCTAGTCACCTCTAACTTAGGGTAGACTCCGAGCCTCTAAGTGGGGACGTATAGTGAGCTGCCAATGATAACGAGAATCCAACAAATACTAAGACCTCATCTCTTCGACATATTTTTCGTATTACCCATTGTTTCTTTTAGATGTTTTAAAAACAAATTAGAAGAAATTCTTTATTTCATCTGATAATCGTAGTATATTAAATAAGAGATTAAAAAAAACATGAGAATATACCTATCTTATATATTTATGAGACATAGAACGTTCATTTGTTTCTCATATCCGTAGGCAATTATTGTGACAGGAAATTACTTCGAGAGTTGTTTCAATGTTTTACTTCTGTGGCACGTTTTATATGAAAATGTTTTTCTTTTAATTCTTATATAAATTAACCTTCGTGTATTTTTTATCTGGAAGAAATCTTCAAAAGATAACCTTCAAAATGTAAAATAGAGTTATGTAATGTTGTTAATAAGAGTGTATGTTTAACAGTGGTAGAGCCCGCTTTAACATCTTCGCACGAATTGATCCGGCTCGCCCGGTGAAATACCATGACCACACAGAAGACAGGCGTCAAGTGGAAGCAATTCCGCGTTTCGTCTGATGAGTGTGCGTCCCGGAGGCCTAATTTAGTCCTCTTTCCCTTCCCACCCTTCTTCTTATGAGGAAGGGTTGGGAAGTGAAAGTGGACTTTCCGGATGAGAGGATGCATGGAAAGAGAAAATATTTTCTTTCTGTGCATCCTCTCATCCGTCGATGAAAGATAGGCAACGTATATGCAATTGCGTATATCTATGGGCAACGGTCACTTCGCTATTTCAGCGATTTTATGTGGCCGCTCGCTCGTATGCCATCTTATGATAAAAAACATGATGTAACATTAATAACAATAATACATTTGTACAACAAACATTATGCTATTACTTTGTTTATAAACGAGACAAATAACTTGTTACATTTTCTAACCACATGGAAATGCACAGTAATTAAGTGCAGTTTGCGAAACTTAAGCTCGCGTCTGCTTAATGTAAGTGCTTATTATAATAGTAATTGTTAAGTATACTTAGTAGTGTCATTATCATTATGGCAGAGTGTTGATTGCGTAAGCACTCTTCTTAGTAATTGGAATAAATGTAACATATTTTTGCTTTTAAAGTTTATTTAAAAGTAAAGCATAAAATTTTTACAATGGACGGCCGATGGGGCCGAAAAGTCCTAGAGTGGCGGTCGCGGACGGGTCGACGCAGCGTAGGTAGACCTCCCGCACGATGGACCGATGACCTGGTCAATGTTGCGAGAGTGCACTGGATGCGGACGAGACAGGACCGGGCATTGTGGAAATCGATGGGGGGAGGCCTTTTTTTCCAGAGAGGAATGTATTAAGCATACTCCGCGCCCCGGGGGGAATCGGTAGTTAAGTGGGATTCTCCTCCATAGCGGAGGCATACCCACTAAACCTCTCTGTCTCTTCAACACATCGGGACGGGGCCACGGACACGCTTTCGCTCTCGTCTGCGACCCGATGGGGAGGCCTACGTCCAGCAGTGAATGAATTTAGGTTGATTATGATGATGATACAATTTCTTTCTACCAGCTTATTAAAGAATAGTGTTCTTTTTAATTATTGACTTGACTTGATTTCCCCGTCTCTTCAGTCCCCGTAGTGGGACAAAGAGCGTCCATAGTGCACCGCCATCTTGGCCAGAATAGACCAAGATGGCGGCGCTTGGTCTCGTGCCGTCGTCACTGATGTGCCGCGCCGTACTCGGCTGACCACGTTTCCTTTTTTCCTAGTGGGACCTGCTCGAAAGCTTCCCGAGTGTGGCCAACCCAAGACGCTCTGCGCCTTATTTGATTACTGACGTTCGTTCGTTCTAGAAGCTCTTAATTGCGGATGTTTTGCGGTCAAAAGATGCCTAGAATCTGTCGTGGAAATAACTTTTGTCACCTTAGCAAGATTGTGGCTCTCGAAGAAAAGAGTATTTTAAATTACGTCGAAAACAGTTATTTTTCTTTTATCTTCAACTTTATAAAATTGCGGTAAATATAGCTTTCGAATTTTGAGTTTTTTTTTCACAATTCCGTATTAAAAATGTGTATATAAACTATAAATCAAACTTAGATTTTAGGATAATAACAAATTCGCATTTGAAATCTCATATTTATAATGAGTTTTGGCGCATGCGCGGTTGCGCGCAGCCTGTCACCCTTAGGGTGGGGGTAGAAGACCTTTAGATGCGGCGGGGCCTGCACGCTTCATCCCCTAAAACTACGCGAGTGTAGAAAAAAAAATGCTGTGAGGTGTATAATAAAAATTGACGTAAAAACATCAAGTGATATTTTCCGAACCAGTGAAGTGAACGCAATTGGAATTTTCCAACGAATACTTCGTAAACGGACTGTGTTTTTTATTATATTTTTTTATTTGCAATGTGTGTTCGAAAGTGAGAGGGTAAGTTTTTTGAATTTCATTACGATTCCCTCTTGAAAGTTTTACGTAACGTGTTCTAATATTTTTAGAAATAATTTTGTATTCAAATAAGTAAATTATAGGGTGTAATTTATTTGAATTTTCTTAATCGTATTAAAAAACTATATAAATGTACAAAATTTAAAGGAACATGCTTTGTAAGGTATAGATTGTCAGTTAAAATTTATTTTAGATTTTAAAGACCACACTATTGTAGTGGATAGAAATTACAAATTAAATGCCGTACTTTAGAATTTGTACCAAAAGTTACACCGTTGAATTTCGCTTTCGAGTTTATTGGAATGCACCATTTTATTTCAAGAGATTCTCTTTACCTTAAGGTCGGAATTTCGATTTTTTTTTTCATGTCTTCTTTACTCTACTTTATGACATGTCTTTTAATTTAATAATAAGAAAATAATCTTACATTAAAATACACAAACGTTAAGTTTGCAATTAATAATAATATTTATACCGAAAAATACCTTTGCACAAAACGGTGCTTTTTAATATTATTGAATTTATACTTTTTATTCTGGAAAATTGTCAGTGTCCTGGACTAAAGGCTAGTTCACACTAGGCTACTTATTTAGTCGAGTTCCTAGTAATTGCGGATGTATTAAGGACAGGGGTGGCTAAATTCAAATGGTCCCTTGTTCGTTTGATACCTAATAATATAAAGAAAAGGAAGCTAAAGAAGCTCTCGCTAAACATTTGGATTAAGGGCCCGATACAAAAGGCAGTTATTCTAGAAACCGCGCGCATCGTGAGAAGGTTCCTGTCTCTGCAGCCCTGACCACTGGTTGTTTGAGTCATGGGATTCCGCAGCCGGTAGTGTTCTATATTTAACATAATATATTTTGTATATTTTTTTTTCGATATGAAATGTACTATATTAAAAATATGATAAATAAATGAAAAAACAAAGAAAATACCAACGTCAACGTTGACTAATAAACTCGATTAAAACAGGTTTGGACTTGTTAAGTACATGGTAGAGACAAGTGATGGGAGGCGATATTCGCCGCCGCAGCGTAAGGATAGAACAAAATATATTGACTCGACTAAATGATTTGCTCTACTACTCTACTATTTTCATTGTTCGGACACGTTTAGTTACTGAATTACTAGCGTAGTGCTAACTAAGCTTAAAAGCTTGTTCGTACCAGGCTAGTATATTGACCAAGTAGCGAGAAATTTAGTAATTAAACGTGTCTTAACAACGAAAATTTTGTTTAGTACATAAGTACATTCTTTAGTCTAGCTAATTAGGTACTTTTTTATATCATAAGGTGGCAAACGAGCGAGCGGCCACCTGAAATCGCTGAAATAGCGAAGTGACCGTTGCCCATAGACATACGCAATTGCATAAGCGTTGCCTACCTTTAATCGACGGAGGAGAGATGCACAGAAAGAAAATATTTTTCCCTTCCATGCATCCTCTCATCCGGAAAGTCCACTTCCACTTCCCATCCTTTCCTTATGAGAAAAGGGTGGGAAGGGAAAGAAGACTAAATTAGGCCACCGGGACGCACGCTCATCAGACGAAATGCGGAATTGCTTCCACTTGACGCCTGTCTTCTGTGTGGTCGTGGTATTTCACCGGACGAGCCGGGCCGATTCGTGCGAACATGTTAAAGCGGGCTCTACCACTGTTGAAATCACTTTTAGTTACTAAACGCTACTCGACTAAAATCCTAGCCTATTTCGTACTAGCCTTAAGTTAGGCCGAATGATTTGGCGAGATACTATATTAAATAGAATTATGTAGATTGCCCTAAGGCAAAATAAATTTAAACAAACTCCGCCTACAAATGTGAATGGATTAATTTATTTTATTTTAACTTTATGTCGATGTTAGTTTGTTTTGTCCTTAATGTAATCAGAAACTTTCTGAAAGCTTAGTTTGGGGAAGTTCGCTCTTCTGTGTAACCTAATTGTTGAATGGTGTCACATAATCCAATAAAATACTTTGGATTTGGTAGAATATTTAATTAATTAAGGGGATTTTGGTTTTGCAAGGCAGGGGTATACTTAGAAAAGAGAAATAAAACTTTTCTCTACTTCCATTCTGTCCTGGTTCAGGTTTGTTGCAGATGTCTATAGGCAGAGGCCGCTTCGTTATTTTAGGAATATTAAGTGAACCTCTTGCTTGCCACCATCTAGTATAAAACTAACGGATTGGTCAATAGTAGGCAAGTTGTAATAACCACATTAATTTAAAACAAATAATATTTCTTTAAATTATTAGCCTAAAATTTAAAAAATAAAATGCGAATGTTTGGATGGATGGATGGATGTTTGTTTGTAGATATATTCAGAACGACTGCATGAATCTTGCTGCTAGATGATAGATGTAGAACACAGTCTGGAAGGACACGTAGGCTACTAATTTTATTTATTTGATTCCGCGCGGACGGAGTCGCGGGCGACTGCTAGTCTATTCATATTAATAAAATTGGGGTGTCTGTATGTAATATTCAAATGACTAATTATAATCGTACGTATAATGTATTTTCGTAGGTGATAATAAAAAACTTTTTTTTAAATTTTTGTCTGTATGTCTGTCAACAAGGCAGCGTCGAAAATCTCCGAAACATCTAGACCGACTTCTACCGGAACTAGCAAGTAGGAAGCTGATGCATGGGGGAATATTAAAGGTTAATTTTCTTGTTTGATTCTGCGCTGACAAAGTCGTGAACCACTAGTAAAAAATAAATTTACAATTACCATGAAACATTAGCTTTGTTACAAATGAGTACTGAATTTTGTACATTTCTTGGCAGCAACGCAGAAATGCTTTTGTTTCTTAGAGCGAGACTTTGTAAATTAGAGTATAAATAAATAATGTAAGATGAAATATAAAACATCTCGAGAATGAAATTTTTGGTTTCTTTCTCTTGTTTTTACCTGGAATTATATGTAAGCAATACCGCATTTCATCTGGTGAGTGTGCCTAGAGATATTAGTCGTCTTTCTCTTGCCACCCTTTTGGGAAATATGTGGATTCGATGGAGGAAGCGACGCATAGGAAGAATTCTGTTTTTGTCTGTGTGTCTCATCATCCATCGGTTAAAGGTATACTTCCCTTTCTAATTAATATCCTTCTTCTTCTAACTAATATTTCCCCGAATTTAGATGGCTCGTTTGCCACCTTATAATATAAAATAATATTTCCGAGAAATTTAAAAAAATATCTGTTTTAATTCTCAAAAAATTATTATAAAGCGTTGATTTTCTAATTTATATTTTTAGACATTATTAGTTAGAATCCTTTGGTGCGAATGACGTGCTTTCTTTACAAAGTCAAGTGTCAGAATGATTAGTGAGGGGACATAAACGTAGACATTTTAGTAAGGCTAGTGTTGCGATACACCGGCATTCGGATTTGCTTCCTAACAATACATAAATTCTATTATAAGTGCATTAAAAAAACATCGCATTAACAAAAAAAACTCACCAGTAGTTAAGCTCTTGGACTATAATTCGTTGTTCAGACAGACCGGTATTATCGCAAGAGGAAAAACGTTAGGAAAAACTGAGACAATGACGAAGGCGAAAACAAACTGAACATGTTTGTTACTTCCGACCCTTTCAGGATTCAGCGACCTTTGCTATTGTTTCAAATTAGACTTTGGAAGGTATAGACTAGAATGGATTAATTTTGATCAACGTTGACCGATTTTTATATAATTTTATATGCACATTCAGTAGGTCAGAGAATCGGCTACTATCCATTTTTAATCCCGCACGGTGGGAGTCTCAGGCGATGACTAATCTTACTATTTTACTAATATTATAAATGAGAATGTTTTGGTGAATCGATGGATAGATTTTGTTACAAGGTATCTCCAGAACAGTTGGACGGATTTCGATGAAATTAGGTATACATATAGAACATAGTCTGGAAGAACACATAGGCTACTTATTATGTTTTTTATCCCTCGTTGACAGAGTCGCGGGCAACAGCTAATATACTTATAAAATTACAATAAGTGTGTCCTTTAGTGAGATAAATTGTCCACTAATATTTATGAAAACTGATTAATATAGATAACTAGGTGTCGCCGGCGACTCCGTCCGTACGGAATTAAAAAAATAATATCATTAACCTATGCGTTCTTCCAGATTATGTTCTACAGCTATGTCAAATTTCAGCGAGATTCATACAGCCATTCTAGAAATATCTTCAAAGAAACATCCATCCATCTTAACATTCACATTTATAATATTATATAATGAGTTTGATTTAATTTTAATAAAAGACAAACATATATGAGTTTAAAATAAAGGGTTTATTTGTAAATCTATTTGAAGCTAGACTTTCACGCGTTCTAAAGCTCTAATTGGTTTTGCGAACGAATCCCAGAGTATCCTATTCCCAACTCAACATTGAATTTATAAACAGATTATCCACGAATAAGTTCCAAACAATGGTATTGTGTTACACAATCTTGTTTTGTTCAAGTCAAGAAATAGTTGAAGATTTGGGTATAACAATTATAATAGTAATTAGGATAGGTAAAGTCTTTTGTGCTTAATCTATGTTTCAAATGTTTGATGTTTAAAAAAAATAAAAAACCAACAAAAAATATCATTTGTAATGTCTTGATAGTTTATGTTATGGCAAAAAATACTTTATTCGGTTGACAAAAATGTTACTAATATTATTTCCGATTAACATATGTACATTTATCCGACGTTCTTACGGTGAAGGAAAACATCGTGATGCAACCTGCACATGTCTGAGAAGAAATTCAAAGATATGTGTGAAGTCAACCAACCCGCACTTGGCCAGCGTGGTTGACTATGGCCTAATCACCCTTAATTTAGGGTAGGCTCCGAGCCCCTCAATGAGGACGTATAGTGAGCTGATGATGATTAATGTTAAGATGGATGTATGTATGTTAGAAGGTATGTCAAGAACGACTACATATATCTCGCTTAAATTTGGCATACATATAGAACATATCTTGATGAAT